AACCCGGGAGGCGGAGCTTGCAGTGAGCTGAGATCCGGCCACTGCACTCCAGCCTGGGCGGCAGAGCGAGACTCCGTCTCAAAAAAAAAAGCCTAAGCTGAAAAGCTAATAGTGGACTTAATAATGAAATAATGATAATTTGGTTTTATTTGAATTTATCTGTAGAGAAGGCAGACAGATAAACAGATAATTCATAAATATTTTAAGGAAAATTTCATGAGAAAACGTACTAATACTTGTCTTGTGAAGGAGTAAACTTAAGTTATTTGGAAAGTATCTCTCATTCTTAAGTGATGCCAAATAATAAAGATGTTTACAAACATATGTAATGCACATATGTAATTCATGTACAAATATTTCATATGTTTATATGCATACAAACTTTCAGATATTGTGTGGATAGACAGGGGAATCTGTAGTCAAGTGTGATAATAAAAGACTTTAGCTGTTCTTTACTAATTAGATGTTCTTTTAGAATCAAATCTGTAATCTACATAGCGGTAGGAAAAAAAAAGAAAAGGCAGATTACTCAATTAGCTGCTTGTTTTGTCTACATCATTGCCAAGAAATCTGTTTTTTTTAAAAACTGTTCAGAGTATACCTTTAAGTAATACCTGAAATTGTGATACTTTGTTTTTTAAAATTTTTATTTATTTATCTTTTTTTTTTTTTTGAGGCGGAGTCTTGCTCTGTCGCCCAGGCTGGATTGCAGTGGTGCAATCCTAGCTCACTGCAACCTCTGCCTCCAGGGTTCAAGTGATTTCCCTGCCTCAGCCTCCCGGGTAGCTGGGACTACAGGTGCATGCCACCACGCCCAGCTAATTTTTTTATTTTTAGTAGACACAGGGTTTCACCGTGTTAACCAGGATGGTCTTGATCTCCTGACTTTGTGATCTGCCCACCTCGGCCTCCCAAAGTGCTGGAATTACAGGCGTGAGCCACCACGCCCGGCTATACTTTATTTTTTAAAAAATCATTCTATTTATAGTAGTAACACTTTATGCTTTGTAATTTGCATATTTATATTAAGGAATTTAAACCGAAAAGTTTCTGCAATTAAAAAAATGATTTCTAAGTTTAAATAGATGTTAAATATAGCTATTTAATTACAGATTAAAAAATAAAAGGTAAGTATTTAGTTTATAGTGTCTTAGAAACCTGATAATTGAAATAATTATTTCTTTAAATTTTAGGTATTTAATACCCTCACCCAAGCTAGATGAGTTTCCCTAGACTAGGACCTGGTCTGTTTGAGGTTTTTAGCAATATTCTTCTCCCCTACGTAAAAAAACGCATCTAGATAACTATGATGCGTTATAGGCTAGTAGAATCTCGCCTGTCTTCCTGCCACTGGCTTTGAATCTTGAACTGCCACCAGGTGTCATGCTAGCATTTTAATTGAAGCCTAATATACTTAATTAAATATTTCCGAGCTGGTCAAATTTAGTATACTAAATGTATATCATGAAACAGGAGTATAATAGAGCATTACTAAATTAAAGGAAAAGGCTATAAATAAGCTCTTCTTGTGCACTAGAACAGTTGACTTATGTATTTCTCCTTGCTCAGCACTAATCCCTTGCCTCGCATTGTTATCGTCTACCGCAGTAAACTTACAGCAGAGCACGTATTTGTGATCATGTGCCTTAAAATGAAAAAGAAAACCTTGCAAGCCCTGCTTTAAAGTCGATACATTACTCACACACACACGGAGACACACGCATGCACATTCACACACTCAAGCCTTGAATTTAAACTGGCTTTTATCATCCTAGGGAATTCAAAGTATACATTACTTGAGTTCTGAGCATCCGCTCTAATAGAATATAGACTACCTGGGTCAAGATGCACAATATCTGGCATGACTCTGCAGTTTCTGAAGATACACTCTGTACTTATGTGGGTGGATTTTGAAGCCAGCCCCAGGACCTACACACGTGTTCCAGAACACCCCATGGAAGCCTTCCCAAAAAACGGATTGCTCCAGATATCTTGGCCAAATTTCTAGGCCAAAAGCCTTGACTAATGCAAAGCCTCCCTTGTTGTGGAGAGCCTTGTCTACCTGGTTAAAATATAACTCAAATGGTTTCTCAAAAAGAAGTTATGAGAAAATGAGTCACAAGACCCCATGTAGACCTTTTGCAGATGCCCACTCCACTTATGCCAACATGCAATGTATTCTGAAAGTTTGTTCCACAGCTTCAAAAGAAAACAAAATGTTTAATGAGTGCAGTGCCTAACTAAACAAGGTAATATGTGCAAAGTACATGGCAAAGCAGTATACATATGTCAATTGCTGTTATGTTTCAGTAATCCTTAGATGAAATAACCTACTGAGAATAAGAGTAGGGTAAAATACTTAAGGGAAAAAGCAAATAGGTTATCATATGCAGCACATTTAAGTCTTAAAAGGCAGAAAATATTTTTAAAATACGTGTATATTCTGCCTTTAAAAATCTAACATTAAAAGAAATGTATATGAATTGCAAGATAAAAGATTTCTTGGATTAGTGCTAAGGTTCTGACTATCCCCTTGAAGTTGTGTAAACAGGCGAATTCAAACGAACTCAAAGATGATAAGAATAATTTTCTTCATACAACTTAGAAATTTAGAAGTTTAAGTTAAAAGTCATTTCGGAGAAAATAGCACATTTTCTTCCTGGTTTGGGCATCCAGTAGTGCAAAGTTGCCTTTAAAATTCATAATTAACACTATTGTAATTACATAACTACTTCTAGTGGATAAGAAAGGGTTAATTACCAAACCTGAGTTTTGGTAGGACCATTCAAAATTTTATGACTGAAAAATCCTATTCACGTACCTGAATATTTGTATTTCCCCAAGCCACCTGTTCTTAGAAAGCTGGATTCCAATTTGATTTTTTCTTAAACAATAAAACTTGACTTCTGTAAATATAGAAAACCAAGGGCCTAATAAAATTATTAATCTGCTTAATTTGTAATTTCTTTTTAGTGGAGAAGTGAACATGTAGATATTTATAGTTATCCATTGGGCTTGACTGCTAAGTGTGAAGATCTTACTTGTCATGGAAAATGGAGTAGATTACAATTGCCATGTCATCTTTTCCAGAGGTACTGGGCAGAGGCAGGTGGCAGACCTGACATGCCTAGCTGCTGCCAAAGATTCTTGCTATGATGCTGTTAGAATCTTCGTGGATTATTAAGCCATACGTGGACTTTTTTGTTCCTACAGGTCTTTGCTTGGCTGTTCTTTCCCATATCTTCTGTGCCAGGTACTCCATGTTTGCAGCTAAACTTCTGACTCACATGATGGCAGCCAGCTTATGTACACAGGTAGGAGAGTGCTGGCATTTATGATTTATCATGAGATGTCTGTGTTTCTTCTTCTTTGGTCCTTGAACTGAGTGTAAAAGTAAAGTTTAATCTCAACTTAGTTGAAATAAACTTGTTTACTTTTGCAGTGGAAGAGAATGAGGCTAGGAGAGTCATGTAAGGAAAATTAGTCCTAAAATGCTTCTTTCTACAGAGAAGCACCTTAATATCATCGCTTACAAAAAAAGCTTCTTATCACAAAGTATCATATTGTCAGCTAATATATGCTGAATGTGTTTGTAATTTATATATACATTAAAATTAACATATTAATCTGTTTGAAATATGCTGTTATAAATTCTTTATGTGTAGGACGTTAAGATGATGTAAACTTTTGAAGTATCTGGACACTTTGTATTGTTTCCTATAACATAATAGTTTGATAGAACGTTTTCTTTTGAAAAATCAATCAGTTTTCTATGGTAGAAGAAACTGTGAAAAACATTGACTTATTAGCAATGTCAATTTAAAGTATCTAGTTTAAAGCACCGTGTAAAGCACAGAAACCAGAACAAAAGATGAAATTAGATGCTTTTTCTATCCATACAGTGTTTTATAGTCTAGAAAAGCAGATGTACATATAAGTAACTATAATTCAGTGTGATGTGTGAACATAGACCATTTGCAAACTACTCTATGAAAATAGATGAAGGCTTAATTCATTTTTTTTTTAAATTTTCTCTGAAGGTCAAGAAAGTCTTCTTAGAGGAGATGATATTGAGCTGGGACTCAAATGAGTGAAAATTCAGTTTGTTGATAAGGACTAAAAAGGACCTAGACATTTATATAGGCAAAGGAAAAAAAGCATAATTACTTCTACTTTAAGGCTGAAATTATAGATCCAGGCAGAAAGAATATTCTGTATAATGTTCTTATTGAGATACTTTTTAATATTGTTTTATAAAGTTAGAAAATCCCACTCTTCTGGATGGAGAGACACTACTGCAATGCAGACAATACTCTATTGATTGGGTGCTGGTCGTATGTGTGTATTCAATTTGTGTGCATTTATTGTGCTGTAGACATGATTTGCATAGTTTTTTTAGAATGCTAAAGTGCATTTATTGAACTCTGATAGAACTTGAAAAAAATAGCATTTGTGGTGGAGCTGAAATATAAAATGGAAAATTATCTTAAATATTGGGATTCTGTCACACTTTTTTGTTCTATGAGTGAAAATGGCCTGTAAGTTCCACACTCTATTTTTCAGGGAATAATTAAGTGCTGGATTCTACACAGAGGTCTCTGATTGGGTTTTTAAAGGCCCTATGAGCTATGAGAAGTAGCAGTGGTTACCAAAGGGGCTTGCTTTGAATTTCACAAGGCTATTTATATTGCCTTTGTGACCTGCCTTAGCTGTTTGATCTCGCCTTTGCTTCTTGAATCTAATATATTAGAAAACCCGCCTTCCATAATTAGAGTTTACTTGGCTGTATTCACTACCCACTCTGGTGATTTTTTGGCAGCAGAATTTGTGCAAGACTTAATTATAGCACTATAGAATTACAGACAACTCTTCAGTGTCCTAGCAGACAAATTTGCTCATGTCTAGGGATGTGAAAGACAAAACCAGGATTTCTGTGTTGGAGCATTAACTTTTGATTCATGTTGTATTTAACATTGATTTTGGAGAAAACGGTTAGTCATATCCATGTTTTTCAGTATATTTTTAGAATAAATGAAACAAGGTAGCATGAAAAATCATGTAATGTATGACTTGTGACATGAAATAACTAAAAAAGCATTTTCATATCTCATTTTTGGCAGGAAGAATTGGTATATTATTGATAGAAGATAGTTTATTTCAAAATGCTTTATCTACTTAGATTTAAAAATACCCTCTGAGTTAAGAAGAATAGTTATCTCCCTTAAAACCTTTTAGATAAGGCTTTAAAAAATTCTTAGGCCCCCAAAACAAGAAACTGACTACAGTAAGTTGGGCCCCCACCCTACATAAATTTTAAAGTCATGTTTATAGCTCCAGTTATAGAATCTTCCAACAGGAGTTATTACAGTTCCAGACTTGGATCTTTCATTTGGGATCTGCTGTCAATGTTATATTGTCATTTTTGGAGATTGAGTTAACTCTAGAGAAGTCTTCAAAAAATACAGGCTTGGCCTATGGTTCTTTAGCTAAGAGGGAAAAGTCTGTAGCTGACCTAGAGTGTTTGAGTTGTGAATACTTTGCAGACAAGTCTGCCAAGACCATTCATTTTCAAATCTTTATTAATGAACTAGGACTAAGTAGAATGGCTTTTGTAGAGAAGGGAAGAATAGAAATGCAATAGTCCTGGATTTCCTTTCGGAGCAATGTGGTATAATGGAATCAGAAAGTCAGGAATCAGAAAGTCAGGAAAATATCCTCATCTAGCTCTACTTTCCACTTCTAGAAATATGTGGACTATTATAACCATGATTTATTGTGTGTATGTGTGTATGTATGTATGTATGTGTGTGTGTGTATATATATATTCATGATTGGAGGAATATAGATACAAATCCAAAGATGATTCCTGCTTTAAAAATCAAGATTCTGCTTTAGTCTGGAGTTTGTCATTATAGCCCCTTTGAAAATCATCGACTATAAAATACCAGTAGGTGGCAGTAGAAGATTTATTTTTCTCCCTTAAATTTGCCAGTCTCTAGCCATGACAGCATTCAGTAAAAAATTTGAGAGATGCTTTCATAGTACTTCTTTAACTGGGCTAGAGGGTGTTGGTCTGCAGCATAGCAAATACATATTTGTGGTTTCCTACCTTTGTCTTTTTATCCTCTTTATTCAGAATTTAATTAAATGTAAAAGTGCCATAAGAAAAGATTGTACTCCACTGGTTTGAATATATCTTTCTACTGCTTATATATGTTCAAATTCAGGGACATAAAATCACTTTCATCACTATATTTATGAGCATTAAGTGTGTTATTGATACAGAAAAATGTGTTTGTTATGTCACAGAAGCTTTGAGATAGAGGTCTCTATTTTCAGTTTATCAAATGCATACATATTTCTTCAATACCAAGTTATTTTTTTCTCACTTATATAAATGAAAATGATTAAATGGCAAGAAATTGTGGAGCACTTCAAGTATTATGTGAAAAAACAGCAAACAAATTTGCATGGTATTGGGTGATATTTCTGAGAAGAACATCTAATTATATCTTTGGGATTTTTATCTTTGAATCACATTGCCAACCCATGTGTGCCCCGATAAGGCTGGTAAACAACTAGTCACAAAGGGCAAGTTTGCAGTTCAGGGTTCTCAGTTCTGGAGGTTCTGTCAGGAAAAGCAATCTTCCAAATCTAAAAAAAGAACAGAAGTTTCCTCATAGAAAACATGATGATAAGATAGAACTGTATTTACTCTGATTAATAATACTTAACAAGGGAAAATATTTGTTTTTCTTCTCTATGGTTTGTTATTTGTACAGCGTAAACATATTTTCTGAAACTAAATAGCAAATTCATCTAGAAATGATGTGTGTAAGTCTGTACATTTACCAGCAAGACTATAGCTTAGGGGCCTATTCTCTGGAATTTAAAAAAGTTGGACTGTTACTGTCTTTTGTCCACTTTCTCATTCTGCAACATTTTGGGATGTCATTTTGCAATGTCCTGTTTCCCAGGAAGGATCCTACTCAGACACCCTTGTGAAAAGCTTCTGCTCTAATCTGGAATTATGTCATTCTTGCTTTGAGTATCTAGCATCTTTGGGAATCTTTGACCGTGCATGACTAAAGGCAGAAGTCCTGTGTGACTTCCCAAATGCTGGCTTCTTCTGGATACTATGAATCCTGGTTTCTGTTCCAGCAGTTTGCGCTGTTTTGTTGAGATTACCAACACAAGAAAGTCATTGTGTGAGTAAGGCTTGAAGACACATATGTAACAAGCATATTTTAACTGAAGCAGAGTGAGATAGAGATGGTAAAATGTTCATTAGTCAGAACAGAATTTTCCTTAGTTGAAAGTTTTTGCTAATCACTTATTAACCAGAATATCCTTTGTTGTTTCTACTTTTTTTGCTAAAAAAAAGTATGTAGGAGTTTAAGTACAAGGATCAAAATTAAATCTTGCTTTGAAGATTAGGAAATTGAGAAGCAGAGGGTCATTTTTCAGTAGAACATTTATGATTATATGTTAGTGCAGATGTAAATGGATCAAGAAGGTAACAACGAAGTGTTTCCTAAACTTCAATGTCGGCATCTTGTTACAGTTCGGATAGTGCATCAGTGAGTCTATGGTGGGTTTCCAGATCCTACTTGTTAAGATATTAGATTAGCTATATTATGACCCCAAAACATCTCTGGTGGTTGTTGTTGCTGCTGCTGTTGCTGTTATTATTATTACTAAATCCATATAATCAAGCTCTTTTTCTTAGTATGAAATTTTATTTAAGACATCCCATTTATTAATTTTTTTTAGTTTCATTTCAAATATTATTGCCTTTAAAATGACTTGCACACTTGTATCTTTCCCTAATTAATGAAAGGCTGCTGCTGTGTCCTTCTGACTTTTTTTTCTTTTTTCTAAGAAAGGGAAAGGTTCTTAGGCAAGTGGACTAAGAGATAATTTAGAGTATGAACAAGGCCTTTATTCTGGTCATTCTCATAGCATTTGAAAATTTGCAAAACTTCTCAGTGTTGTTTTGGACATAAAATAAACTACTAGAAAGAAGATATAACTAGTTCCCCTGCCCCAAGTTCATTCTTTTCTACCAAGATCTCGTAGGTGGCCTCGCCCTACTACAAAGGTATTGAGTATGTAAGCCTTTTTTTTTTTTTTTTTGTACAATTAACTGTATTTAACTGTGTCTTTATGTAGATATTGGGGTATTTAACTGTATCTTTTCTTCGTGTAGAGATTAGTTTGGTGAATATGAATAAAGACATTCTGCACACAGATATGAATATACATTTAAGTTGAGTTTATTAAACTATTTGACTCAATTTAGGTATGCTCAATG